GCCAGCCTGATTGCCCCTAACCGCCTCTGCCTCGGCCACGCCACCATGGCTTTGTCAGGAAGGACATCCAGAAGGTCTCCCGGTCTAATTAGCATATTACCCTTTTATTAGTATAGATTTTATTGGGATACAGTCATGCTCATTTACGTGTTAGCTATGACTACTTTTGCCCTAAATTATCAGTTGAGCAGTTGCAACTGAGACCAAATGGTCTGCTGAACCAAAAAATATTTACTCCCTGGCCCTATAGAAAAAGTTAACCAACCCCCAGTGGAGGTAACTTAAAGTTTGTTCTCATCCTACACATTCCCTAAATATCTTTAAGCAAGGCTCTTTCCCTCTGCAGACTCAGTCGCTGCATCTATTGATTGAAAAGCCTGTAAAGTGAGGCATCGCCTTGGGTTTGTTCTCCCATTGTTCTGCAAGTATTAGCATCAAATATTTTCGTTTTATTACAGCTGACTTCATGGAGGGCAGAAAAGTGTTCTGTGAGTCTCATGAATCATCCTAACCACCAGCCTCTATGCTAAGCCCTGAGTCCATTTATGGAGTATAACTGAACTGACTTGAATTATACATCTTTCTTCACAGAGAGATCTCACAGAATGATGTCTTGGAAGTGATAGAGGCGAATGTGTTCTCCAATCTGCCCAAATTACATGAAATGTAAGCAAGAACCTATGGGATTTGCTCATGACTGTTCTTGACCATCACCTGAAAGTCTGCTTCTATTCCCGGCTCTGCTCTGTCCTCATATCCATACTATAATTTCATTTTAAGATGAAAGTCAGCCCAAAGGGCACTCTGCCTGTGTCCAGGCACCAATCCAGAACCTAGTCATACCCCATTTCCCCTACTCCCAGAGTTGTTTGCATAGTAAACCCAAGAACTTGGCTCTGAGACTGCCAGCAAGTATCTCCACCTCATCCTCTCATTCAAAGTTATTCCACAGTCAAAAGCCAATAGTTGAAGATGAGTAGTCCTAGTCTGAATACTTGCCTATGTCATATAATCACAAAAAAAAACTTTGGCCAAGATACAAAATCATTCTGAGCCTTAGTGTTCTTATCTATAAAATGGGAACAATATAATTGCATGCCTCATAATATCACTGTGACAAATGTATGATATAAATTCAAAGTTATTCCACAGTCAAAAGCCAATAGTTGAAGATGAGTAGTCCTAGTCTGAATACTTGCCTATGTCATATAATCACAAAAAAAAACTTTGGCCAAGATACAAAATCATTCTGAGCCTTAGTGTTCTTATCTATAAAATGGGAACAATATAATTGCATGCCTCATAATATCACTGTGACAAATGTATGATATGATAAAAGTAAATTAGATCTAACACATCAACTGGCGTGAGTGTGTCAATGATTCTTGCTTCCCCTACTCTTCCAATCAAATTTCCTTTCTCTTGTTGACATTCTAGGTTACAATATGTCAGTACTCACACAGATCCACTTCTGTTTCATATAATGACCATAAATTACTTCATAGAATCATAGGCTAGCAGACACTTTAGAAATGGTCTAGTCCAGAATTTTCCAAAGTAGACGGCGTATCATTAAACACTCAGGAATTTTTTGTGTTTAAAAAAGAATGGGAGATTATATGGTCAAATAAGACTAGGAAACATTGGGAAAATCAATCTAGATTCACTTACTATAGGAAAACTTCTCAGGACCTGTAATATGAGGATATACACTTGGAATCTCCAAGAAAGATATTATATTAAACGGCTCTCAACTAATGTTACTGCAAAGGTTTCTTCTATGGCGTATACATTAACATATCACAAAATTTTCATGAAACACAGGGAGTCAACAAATCACTCTTCTAATTTTACAGATGAGTGATGAAAGGCACAGAGAAGTTATGAGGCTTGGCTAGAGTCACCCAGCAAAATCCACAGGAGGATAAGAACTTGAACATAAATCTCTCGACTCTTGTATCTTTTTAAAAAGTATTAAGTATTTGCCAAGTATCAGTAGGGAATAAACATATACATACATATATGGTCTCTAATGACCAGCATGTAATACACACACACATACACACACACTTTGTTTAGGAAAGACAGACACTCAGTCTGTCCATTTTGGCAGACTCTCCCTCCCTTTTCCTTCCTACCACCCACTCGGCCCCCCCACCCTCTTTCTCCTTCATTGTCATCAATCCTCTGCAACTGCTGCCTTTCCTTCCTCTTCCCATTGCCCTCCTGCTCCATCCTTTCTCCTCTCTCTGCTTGGCCTCTCCTTCCCCTAGTGGGAAAAGGAGACATGATCAGAGTCTCAGAACCCACAGGAAATATCAGAGAAATGAACCACACAGCAGACAGCCCTCTGAGCAGGGTCAAGCAGACATCCCCCTATGCAATGGTAGTAGAGCTAATGGGACAGCTCTTTCCTACATGGAGAGGTGCTCACCCCCATGTAGCACTGACTATACTTAAAATGATCAATTAACTGGTACGTGGATCTTGGTAGCTACAAGTTACTACAACATAAAAGCTAATGAAACAGGGAGGAAGTAATTAACACAGAGCATTTCTGCAAATATACATTGATCCAGCAAGATGAGGAAATGGCAACTTCTCTGTTGGAATACAAATGCGAACATGCTCACCTCCAAACTATTGATCAGGACATGGCACAGGCCAACCTGGAGAAGTCACCACCTCCCACCAGCCACAAGGGAGCAGCCTCAGTCTATAGCAGGAAGAGAATCACTGGCATATCTTGAGCTACTGACTGCTCAGATTTCAGGGTTAAAACCAGAGATGCCCACTGTTTGCCCCCAATCTTTGTCTTCCTTTGCCTCTTCACTCTTTTGTTCTCCACCCCATTTTGTTGTTTTCCATCCCCTTATCTTTTGTCTTCTGACCATACAAAAGCTCCATTCCCCATATTGGTCTCATCCCTATCTTCTTAGCATCCTCACACCCTGGGAGATCCTTACTAGTAAAAGGCTCAGCTGTGCTCAGGGTGAAAATGACCCACCCAGCCAGGGCTTTGTTTGCCTCTAATGGACATACCAGGAGGACTTTGGTGGTGAGAGTTAAATAGGACAGAGTTAATATTTAGTTTGTGTGGGTTAGCATAGTAAAAGGCACTGCATGTGTGCTCAATTTTTATTGAAACAATAGATGGATAAATGGATGGATGGATGGATGGATGGATGGATGGATGACTTTGATATATTCTGCATAATGTGAAAAATACTACAATGTTCCTTACTGTTGAGATTATGTTCATGTTCTTTTACAGAAGAATTGAAAAGGCCAACAACCTGCTGTACATCGACCCTGATGCCTTCCAGAACCTGCCCAACCTCCGATATTTGTAAGAACTCCTGTATTCTGGTGCCCCCTCTATGATCAAAGTGTGTGTAATACTCTTTTAGCAAAATGTCCACTTGCTACTCTGGGAAGCAGTTGCTTTTTATCAAAGATGTGAGGCAGAAGTGGAGGTGGAGAGACACTTGCTGGTGAACTTTAGTTGAGTTTAATGAGTGAATTTCACTAATATAATTGCATTTTGTTTTCATTTACTAAAACAGACATCACAAGGAATGCCATTTGCATTAATGGGCTGTCACACAGACCTCTTGCAGAACTCAGTCTTAATTTAGTGTTAATGCGATGCAGCCAAAATTTCTGCTAGCACTTACCTTGCAACCTCGACCTCAAAGACATCATCTCCTCTGTTCTGCATATATGCATTTTTTTCTTTGACAGATTACAGTGTTTGATTTTGTAAGTTTTGGTTAATAATAGACATGGTATTGATCAGCAGAGAAATTCCTGGTGTTTGAGCTCCATCCCTCGGGCTTGCCCCCATCAGCAAATTACTGCTTCTTCTACTTTAAATGGCTTTTAAATTAGCCAAGGGCTTGACAGAGCCCTGGATGCTATGACGTGGCCCCACAAAATAACAGACAAGAATTTGGGCTACAGAGCAAACTTTTTCTAGGCCCATTATTTATCTCAGACAAGCTTGTTTCCTTGTTGAGAGAATAGAAATAATAAATCTGTTACTTATTAAGTAATCATGATGCATAACCAACTACCCTATAAGAAAGAGTTTTAAAGCAACAACTATTTATCCTCTCTCACCTGTGAGTTGATCAGAGGAATGGTGCTGCTGACAGAACTCTCGTTTTCCCGACCTCAGCTTAGCTCACTCATGCATCTGCAGATAGTTGGCAGGTCAGCGGGAGGCTGGCTGATCTGGATGGTCTCAGTTGAAATGACAGCTCTCCTCCGAGTGGTGCTCATTTCCAGCAGGCTAGCACAGGCTTGTCCTCATGGCAGCCTAGGATTCCAGGAGAGAGAGCTGAAGCTTTCAAGCCTCTTGAGACTTAACCCCTGAACTAGCACACCATCACTTCTGGTGAATTTTATGAGCCAAAGCAATTCGAGACCAGCCCAGGTTCAAGAGGGGCAGAAACAGACTCCTCTTCTTGATGGGAAAAGCTGAAGTCACAACACCAGGTATGTGAACACAGGGAATGACAGAATTGAGGCCATGTTGGCAATCAATTTAAAGCACATACAAAGTTTTGCACAGTATCTGTCACATAGTAAATGCTCAATACATATTAGCTACTATTGACGTTATGTCTCTGTCCCTAAATTTTGATCTATAAGAACTGGAGTTAGTAGGTATACTAAGGAACACTAGGCCATTATGTGCCGTAGTGAATGGAGACTGACTGAAGGAATAAACAATTTCACAGAAGAGAGTTCATATGACCTGGATCTGAGAAAAAAAAACAACAACAAAACAAGGTCATCCACTTTTGAGTTAATCAGAAGAGAGTTCATATGACCTGGATCTGAGAAAAAAACAACAACAACAAAACAAGGTCATCCACTTATGAGTTAATTGTCAGTTGGAGGACTTGCTTGGTTGGCACAAAACCTGTGCAGTTGCACAGGGCCCTGTGCTCAAAAGGGCCCTACACTCTGAGAACCTCAGACTAGGTTTAGTTCTCTGCTGCTTTGTCTTGAAAGAAACATTTGTGAACAAGGGGGCCTGCATTTTCATATTGCACTGAACCCCATCAATTATGTAGGCAGTCCTGCTCAAAGTTAGGGTTATGGTCACTTCTAGTTTCAGAGTTGGGAGTCTTGGCTCCCTAAATGGACTTTGCTATACTCTCTGCAGAGGCTAGCCTAGATTAGGCACAGAAGTGGAGGAAATGTGGATTAACAAATAAGGTATGGGTCTTAGACTCAGAAAATCTAGGGCTTAATCCTGACCATACCACTTACTCTTGGGCCAGTCACTGCACTTCTGGGATGTACATGGCTCTCATGAGCCTCAAGTGAGATTTATATATGAAAACATTTTTTACAAAATATTTTAAAAGTTCTCAAAAGACATTTTAAAATATACTATTATTTGTAGAATGATTATTTCTGATCAACCAAAGTCTACAAGTCTATCCTCAGGGAAATTCCTATAAGTGTTGAATAGTTAAGTATTGAAAAGCTAAGACCTTTAGCTTTTACCTAGAGTGTTTGGAATGAGTTCAAAATGAGAACTTTGGGACATGCCTAAGCAGTATAGAAAAGAAAATATATATACTCAGAAGGACTAGATTCCAGATATTTATTAGCTAGACTGCCTATTACCTTTTCTAAGACTTTGTTTCCTTATCTATAAATTGGGTGGTTGTGAAAACCAAATAAGACTATGCCTGCAAAAACATTTTTGCAAAATTGTTTTTCAGTATACAAACTGTAAAGAACTATACAAATATAAATTAGTGCCTGTTACGCAGTTTCTTTCATTTCATTTTCCCTCCTCCTTTACTTCCCAACTACTATCCCTCTCTCCTTCTCTCTTTTCTCCTAGAAAAGTCTGATTGAAATCTGGGAGGCACAGACCCTTCAATAACAGCAAGAGTACCCTAGGACATGCAAAGGGGCACCCCAGTTTACATACTATCACATATGGCTAGTGAAAAGCACTGCTACAGAGGATAAACCCAAGAAGAAAACCACCCCCTCACACACATATTCCATAGCCCATGATAATAATAGCATGAATAACAGTGAAAATGGTAGACTGGGAGCAGATGAATAAAGAGATGAAGAATCATTGCAGCCTTGGCCAGGTGGCTCAGTTTGTTGGAGTGTCTTCCCATCCACCAAAAGGCTGTGGGTTCAGTTCCTGGTCAGGGCACATACCTAGTTGCAGGTTCAATCCCTGATCAGGGTGTCTATAGGAAGCAACTGATATCTCTCTCTCTCTCTCTCTCTCTCTCTCTCTCTCTCTCTCTCAACCAATAAAAACATATTCTTAGGTGAAGAATTAATAAAAATTAAAAAAAAGAATCATTGCAAAATAACATTTTCAAAAAACAATCATTGATGCAGAATTTGACCCCAATATTGTCCCCCACTTGTGGCCAGCACCATTCATTCTTATTAACAAGGACCCTTGACCTTTTCTCTAGGGGCTTGGGTCTGGGGAGGAACTAGGAAGGATGTGGGCATAGAAGAAGAGGAAACTTTGGCAGAACTCAGAGGACAAAGGTGTGACTTTGACTCTGGAAGAGGCTGAAATCTGTGTCATCTGTCATCGCATCCAGCCTCTCCTTGGTGTCCTTTTCTCACATTGAGGTGTTGAGTACTCCCCATTCCCATCTGGCTCCCTATCACATTCAGACAAAGCTGGAGGTGACCGACTCCAGCTCCATCCTTTCCTGAGAGTAGAATATTGTTCACGGAGCATTTAAAATGTGCTTTCTAACTGGGAAGAGAAAAGAGTTAGTAAGCAGTTTGGAGTTCTGTCATTGTCAAAGGATTTTCCATGACTGCTCCAAAAAAAAAATCCTTACATAATTCTACAGTGTCCAAAAGTCTGTCACATCCACTGCCACGCAAATCTGCATCAGGAAGGTGAGACAAAGGGTTGTTCATCTTAAGCCTTTTTCACTTATTTCCCAAGGTGGGCCTTTCCCACCTGCACACTCCTCCCCAGGATGTGGCATCCAGTGACCCTACGAATCCAAAGACATTAGCAATATCTCTATTCAAGAATCAGAAATATTTTTCCCAACTGCAATGAGGAATCACCTAAATTCATGGTTGGTCCTCTACTCTGAAAGCTTATATCATGGAAACAAAGCCCAGTTAAGCTTCCTTCCACACTTAGTGTCTGAGCAGAAGTCATAAATAACTTTACCATCCAGCAACCAGGCAGAAGTAGACAGCAACGATTTCAGATATTCTTTTGGATGATGAAGTACATGCTAAAAGAAAAGAAAAACACACACACACAACACACACACACACACACAATGGATGAAGAAATCAGAGGGACCAGTGGAACTGAAGAGTTGTTTATTTCCTTAAGCCAGGATAAATGCCTATCATTACAGCCACCAAAGCAGGAAAGTAGAAGGCATGGGGGTGAGTTGTCATTTGACTTGAGCATCCTAATTGCTGCACACACACACTGAGAAATGTTTTTCTTCCATTTTATGTTGATCATTTTATGGCACAGCGTTCAAGACAACCAGAAATCAGTATTCTTCATCACTGCCTTCATACTTCACTGAGGAACCCAAAGTGGTTAGGGAAAACACTCATGAATAAAGAAATGTACTTTGACTAAAGGAATATATATCAAGGAATTCACCTGGGTGAATTTTTTTACAACAATATTGTACTTGCAGGCAATGTTTCTCTCTGTATCACTCCACCTTCCTGAAGTTGACCTTTTGTGTATGAAAGATTACCTATTGATCTATAAATAAGGTTCATACAATATTCTCTTGCCTTTGCATCCTGTCAATGTAATTCTCAGGCAGCTGGATGTTGCTTTTTGCTACTCAATAAACCATAATCCCATCTTAGCAAACCCTTCACACACACTGGTAGGCCCCATCTAACTGATGATCACCTTCCACTCACATGTGGGCCTGTCAGACCTCCTTAGGATATCTGCTAAGGGCAACCATGCCCTCTGCTTTCTCCAGTTGGGGATAATTCCTGGAGATTCTTTCACTGGGACTCACCTCAGCAATTCAGGCTATTTCTTTCCTGCCCCTAAATTCCTCTCTGTCTTTCCTTCATTCCTCTTTCATTTGGTTTGTGGGGATAATGAAAGTAACTTTTCTTGTTATAAAAGCATTTGTTGGACATTGCATGGCAAAGGCACGAAGGGCAGGGACTGAGGAGGTAGTATACAGTAGCAAGGAAGCACACAGGTTCCACTGCCACCTGTCTGGGCCAGGTGTCAGCTTCTGCCCTTGCTCGTTGTGTGACTTTGGATAATTGGCTTAACTTCTCTAAGTCTCAGTCTTACTTTCTTTAACTTGGGAATAG